TGGAGAGTTGAAGAGAGAACATTAGGGAAATAATAAAACTGATACTGCCTGGCCTGTGTGGCTCAACGGTTGAACATTGACCTGTGAACCAGGAGGTCATGGTTTGATTCCCACTCAGGGCACAAGCCCAGGTTGCGGGCTCCAACCCCAGTGGGGGATGTACAGGAGGCAGCCAATCAATGATTTTCTCTCATCACTGATGTTTCTATCTCTCTTTCTCCTTACCTCTCTGAAAGCAATAAAAATATATTTTAAAAAGTAGGAATGATGCCTAACTTCTCAGGAGCAATGCGAACTGGAAGCAGTGGGTTAGCATCATTAAGAAAAAAAAAAAAAAAAAAAAAAACAGCAAAAAAAATAAGCTTGTTAATCTAGAATTTTGTTTTCTCAAAAAATAAAAGTAAAGACATTTCCAATAAATGAGAGTTAACAATTTTGTTAAGGAAGAAAAGCTTTTCATGGATCTTGCAGCAGAATTCCTCAGGGGCCCCATTTTTGTTCAGCTAAGGTGGGCTGCATGGCAAGGAAGACGAGGACCTGGCATCTCATCCTCTGGAACAAAGTTCCTGTCATCAGGGCGAAGAGGAATCAGTTGTGTAGACATCCAGCCGTGAATTAAATTGTGTAATCAGGAAAAAGTGACAAAGCTCTCTGTTATTTGGTACATAGGTGCAAGAAAAGCAGAAAATAAGTCCTTTGTTGCTAGCTTGACCATCAGCCGATTCTTAGAAGGCTTTATAGAAAGCCTTTGGACATGGCTTTGTATTTCTTCCCTATGCATTCAGTGCTGGCCACTGGGCATACGAGATAAAGAATACATCTTTTTTTTTTTTTTTTTTTTTTTTTACATTCAACAAATATTTATTTATTTATTTTTAAATCAATCTTTATTGTTCATATTATTACAAAGGTTCCTCATTTCTTCCCCCCTCCACCAGGTTCCCACCCCACCCTCTGCCCCCTCCCCATCCCCCATTGTCCTCATCCATAGGTGCAGTTTATGTTCAGTCTCTTCTTCCCTCAATTTCCCCGATAGTAAATCCCTTTTCATATAGTAAATCAGTTACTTAGCATTTTCTCATATCAATAATACCTCCACATGCCCAATGATACACTTCACACAAAAGACATTTCCCAATAGGTCCACCAGCCTCATCTAGGCCCCACCCAAGGCACTCACAGATCAACACCCCAGCCCTATACTAACTCAACACATCCAGATCTAAGCCTTCATCACTTGATTCAGCAGACCCTCAAGTTCCCACGAAAGTTTCCAGCCATGTCTGAGAGGCAGCCATGGGGCAAGGGCAGGCGAGGAGTGAGCTGTTCCGGGCCTGGCTGCTCAGGGCCTGGCCTCTGTTGCTCTGGTTCGTTCCACAACCAGCTGCTCCGGGTCTGGTCACTGCCGCTCCCGACCTAGTTGCTCTGGACTTGGCTGCTGCTGCTCCGGGCCTGGCCGCACCCGACCCGGCTGATCCCCCGGGCCTGGCCGCTCCCAGCCTGGCAGCCGCTGCTCCAGGCCTGGCCGCACCCGACCCGGCTGCTCCCCCGGGCCTGGCCGCTCCCAGCCTGGCAGCCGCTGCTCCGGGCCTGGCCGCACCCGACCCGCCTGCTCCCCCGGGCCTGGCCGCACCAGCCCCGGAAAAAAAAAAAAAAAAAAAAAAAAGAATACATCTTGACCTCAGTCTGCTGGAAAGATAAAGACAGCTCTTACAGGTTGTCAGTGACCATCTCCTAAGCAGTGTGCCATCTTTTTCATAGAACAAATGGATTTCCTTTAGAAACACCGGTTAGGAAGCAGTTAACTCAATTGGAATCATCAGGGAATGTTTTACAGAATAATAGTAACAGCAGCAATGATTCTCCTTTATTGAGGTGCTGTCCTGAGTGCTTTCAACTCTTCCATCAATCTTATGTGTTAAGAGTTATTCTTGTTTTTATAAATTTGGAAACGGAGTCTTATATAAGGAAATTGCCTGAGGGCATTCAATTAGTAAGGGGCAAAGTCAGGATGTAAATCTAGGACAGCCTGACTCCACAGCCTGTGTGCTTACCCAGATGCAACAAGGGCTTTGGACTGACTCGCAGTCTCTTGATTAAAGCATATCACCTTTTCAGTGGGTTATAAGTTAACCCACACCAGGTATTTTTGGAAGAGTTACGTGTTTGCCTTATTCACGTCTGTTATAGTTTTACAAGTATTCCCATGGGGAAGCCACTCACTAAATTGTAAATTAAAATAATTCAGGTCACCTGCAGGAGAATGTTGACTCCTTGTTTGGTGTGTTTACCTTTAATTTACTCATGTAACCTCTAGAAGTCCAAGAGCAACTTAATTGACTGGTCATTTTACGAGACAAAATTAGAACTGGCCACTGCCACCGACCACATGCTCTGTGACCCAATAAGGTGCTAAGTTTTCTGGCTTCAGTTTCCTCTTGTTTTAAGAGTATGGAGCTGGTTGGATTAAATGATCTGAGCTTCCTTAAATATTAAAATTAAGCCATACGTTCTATGTTTGTGGACCTTTTGGTGTTTGAATTATTTAAGTGCCTAGACATACATACTTAATGAGCAAAGTGAGTTTCCCTAAATTCAGAGAACTTAGACTGCTCTTTCAGTTTAATGCTGTGCAAGCAGCCATTCATTTGCATGCAGCAGAAAAGATTTTTCACTTAAGTAGAGTTGCAAAGTAGTTAATTGACGGTAAAATTCTGACCTCGATAAATATTCTGAGTCTGAACTAGTAAAGGTATTTTGTGTGACTACGGTGAAGAGGCAGAGGGGAGTGGGCAGAATTTTCTTTATTTTGTTTTATTGTGGCTCAATGCACATAGAATTAATGCTACAGCAGAACAGGGTGTAGTTATAGGACCGTGGGGTCCTCTCTATTCAGCTGGCAAATGGGGAGAGAAGAACTAAGATAGCACTCAGGAGTCTAGTTGCCGTTCCTCAGCCGGAAACGGCACACATCACTTTGGCTCTCATGCCTTTGGCCAGAACTTGGTCACATGATCACACTGCAAGGGAGGCTGGGAGTTGTATTTCACTGTGTTCTCAGGAAGAAGGGTAGTATTGGGTACACAGACACAGAGGTATATGGAAAATTAAACGAGTGGAAAAAATAAGACAGTTATTAACTCTAGAAAATACAAACAGTTGTACAAGGAGGGGAATATTAATAAAATAAAGACCATAATAATAGCGAACATTTACTGTGTACTTAACTCTGTACTAAGTACTGTTTGTTCTCGCTGCTCAGATATTTCATATGTTAGTTTACTTAAAACATCCGTTTTTACAGGTGAATGTTGATTTTACCAAAATGTATCACTGTATTTATTGGAGAAATGGGATAGGGAATGAGAGTGGAGAAAAACCAAGCATCATCTTTTATAATAGGAAAAATAATATGGAAATAATGTCTACATTTTATAGTATCTGAAACTAAACAGTCAAGACATGATAGGTGATGAATGTCATTTGGAAATAAAGAGATGGACATCAGTAGTAACAATTGAAAGAGCAAACGCTGCAGGGTGAGCAGTTCAGGTGTGGGGTGATTGCCCTCCTGCTACTGTGCTCTCCAGGCACAATATACAAGTGTCTGTTATAAGAGAAACTGTCAGGAGAGAGAAAATGAAAGCAATGTGTAGTGTTCATTAATGTACACCTTATTTTCATGCAGAACAGAGATGGTTTTGTAAAAATCACTAAATAATGGAGCCTCACATGGAAGGAAAGAAGCTAAAATCTAGACCTGGATTTGCACGATACTTTATTGGCCGAGTCAAACTTTGTGTGTACTTCCAATTTTAATGAGAATGATGATCTCTTAACAGTTACTCTGACTTCTAAATTCTAGGTGTTAGACTGATTTTTGTTTTTAAACTATGTCTTAATCTGACAGTATGGGCTTCAAAGCTAGTTTTGCATGCAGCCAGATGCCTTGTTTAATTCTTGCCCGATGTCCTGGGCCATAATCCCTTAGCTACATGTTTTCTCAGTACCAGTTTATATAAGTAGTCAAAGTAGTTTAATCATTTGCATCCAGTAGTTGTTTTTTTTTTTAACCAATGAACATACAACAGAAAAAACACAGAAGTCACAGTGTACATACAGCTTAATGAACTTCTATGGTGAACATAGCCTGGTTGCCAGCCCTTGGCTCAGGTCCAGAAACAGAACTTGACCAGGCACTCCTAGAACTGACATCAATGTGGACTAAAGTTGCAAAGTGATTAATTGATGATAAAATTCTTTGTAGTATTAAGAATGAATTTATCTCCCTTTGACTGATGAAATTGTGTTAATTTCTGTTATTTCCCAAATTGGTCAAAGACTATGAACTTTCAGTTTTAAAATGAATAAATTCTGAGGATTTGATATATAGCAGGGTGACTATCATTAGTAATACTGTGTGTATACTTGAAATTTGCTCAGATCTTAAGTGTTCTCCCCACACACACAGTTAACTATGTGAGGCAATGACTGTGTTAATTTGATAGTGGTGAATGTTTCATAACATATACATATATCAATTCAACATGTTGCATACTTCAAATATATACAATTTAATTTGTCAGTTTATCTGTTAAGAAAATGGCAAGAAAACAGCAGAACATTACCATTATCCCAGAAGCCCCTTCCAGTCGCTTCCATGAAAGGATCAATCTCTACCCGACTTCTAACCTTCTGGATTAGGTTTTGAACAAATCATAAATGATATCTAGCAGTTGTATAAAATCATACATGTAGACACATGTACTCACATATTTCCTTTAAGTAAAAAAAAATAAACATGTATGCATAAACAATTGTACACATTTATACTTTTAGATTTTTTTTTTTGAGGGAGAGGGGTTGCCAGTTCTGTTTATGGCTTCCTGAGGTTATACATTTAAATTTGGATCATATGAGAAGTATATTATTATTCCTTTACTGTTTCTTGGGACTCGTCATAAAGGCATGATGATCTAATAGGAAAACTGTTATTCCAGGTCCAGTGGCACTGCAGAGCGAGGATGGTGGCAGGAGCCAATTTCTACATTGTTGGACGGGATCCTGCTGGCATGCCTCATCCAGAAACGGGGAAGGACCTGTACGAGCCAACTCACGGCGCCAAAGTGCTGACAATGGCCCCTGGCCTAATCACGCTGGAAATAGTTCCCTTTCGTGTTGCCGCTTACAACAAAAAAAAGAAGCACATGGACTACTATGACTCTGAACAGTAAGTTTTACGTCCTCTGCACATATCTGTGAAATACCTGTCTTCTCAGCTGCTCCAGGGCTTTCACGTGCTGTCTCATCTTTACAGCTTCACTGATGACCAGCTTCGTTGTACCCACTTCGTTGTACCCAGAAAGGCAGACCAAGGAAACTAACTTCTCGATGTCCCAGAAATTAGAAATAAAAATTGAATCTGGTTTTATGATTACAGGAATTTTGTCTTGAAGTATTTAAAGGCAGAATTGACATTTCTCTGTCCACCATATCTACTGTACCTTAGCATACAGAAGTGGTCTGAGGACTTAGTGATGAACATTGCTCTGCTAAGCCTACAACATTTATATAAGTGAGAAAGTTTTTATTTTTTAATATATATTTTATTGATTTTTTACAGAGAGAAAGAGAGTGGGATAGAGAGTTAGAAACATCAATGAGAGAGAATCATCGATCAGCTGCCTCTTGCACACCCCCTACTGGGGATGTGCCTGCAACCAACGTACTTGCCCTTGACCGAAATCGAACCCGGAACCTTTCAGTAGGCAGGCTGATGCTCCATCCACTGAGCCAAACTGGTTTCGGCTATAGTGAGAAAGTTTAATATTCTTGCAATCACTATGTGACAGGCACTATCCTAATTATTGTATAGATGTTAATTATTCCCTGCAGCAATCTTATGAGGTAGGTGCTGATATTATTCCCAGTATATAATTAGTAGTAAGCTGAGACATACAAAGGTCAAATAACTGTAAAAGGTCACATAATCAGTAAATGTCAGCCCAACAATTGGACCTCAGCATGGTGGCTCCACAGTTGGTGCTCCTGACCAGTAAGAGTGCAGCTTTTTCTTCAGAGATCTTAGAAGGAACAATAAACAAAAGCAGGCTTTTAGGATAAATTATTGGTAGTCTTAAAGAATGGATTTATTGATTGATGAAATTGTATTAATTTCTATCTGTAGATGCTATCAGTAGGTACTACACTCTATGATTTAAAGTGGCAAGGTGAGACTTTAGAATTAGAAATCATGGGTTCTAGCTCAACCTTGCTGTGAGACTTCAGAGTCTCTGGCCTTATTCTTCATCTTAGGAATGATGGCTGTGGACAAGGTGATTACTGCCTTGCTCAAAATCTGTAGTTCTTTCCATGTTCTGTCGCATCTACTTATTTTTATGTCTTTTTAAATATATATATATATATATATATATATATATATATATATATATATATATATGATTTATTTTTACAGAGAGGAATACATAGTTAGAAACATCGATGAGAGAGAAGCATTGATCAGCTGCCTCCTGCACACTCCCCACTTGATATGTGCCCACAACCAAGATACATGCCCTTGACTGGAATCGAACCTGGGACCCTTGAGTCTGCAGGCCGACGCTCTATCCACTGAGCCAAACCGGTTAGGGCTATTTTTATGTCTTAGTAAGTGCTTGTACATATGGATTGTTTTCTTGATTGCTGCTTATTTAGTATAATTACATCTGCTTATTTAGTATACCTGCTTTTTTATAGTACAAGTTACAGTTCATGTTCAGTAAATAGAACCGATAATTATTTTTTATTTATGTTTTATCAGTGTCACCTCTACTGATGGGTACTAATTGAAAATTGACTGTAGTAACCTTCCATCTGAGAGCTCTCATTCTTTTTTTCCATGGTCGTTTACAGTTGACTCTATATTCAGAAGTGATCTAGACCTGACCCTGACCCCTGTATCTTCAGTTGGTGTGGCCCATTTTGTAACACTGGGAACAAGAAAGGAAAAGAAACCTTTTTAAAAATAAAAACATTCTCTTGCTTCTAAGAGGGCCACAAATGTGTCATTTAATTTATTTGAGATAATGATAAGTTGTCTGAATAAGGAAAGACTATTACCAGAGGGTTTGTTGGCTTCTAATTTAATAACATAAATAATTCTGGAGAAAATGCACAATTTTAGGTAATAGTAGGCTTTCTGAGTGACGAATTGTAGCTAAACTACAGGAAAATCTTGAATCAATGAAGAAAAAGGCTTACATAACTGGTATGGGCAAGCATAAAGCACAAAGTGTTCCCATGGCCTGGTTGTGGAGGTAAAGACCAGAGCAGTTCTAGAGCATTCTTTTCTGAACACCTGAAATGTGGCCCAGATTCTAGTATACTCCTGAACCACACCATGAGAAGAATTTACAATCGCCAGAACATTTTTACCCTTGTACAAAATCAGGGTTTGCCAACACCTAGAAATAGTTCCAAATTGTGGCAGGTTTAGTTTTATTTTGGCCTAAGGATATGTGTGTGTGTGTGTGTGTGTGTGTGTGTGTGTGTGTGTGTGTGTATGTGTGCTTACATATATATGTATATATACAGGGTGGGGCAAAAGTAGGGTTATGTTATTCGTATGGAAAGTAGTATAGTAATTAATAAATAATATTGCCAGAATACACTGTTTCATGTACTCACAACTGTAACCCTGCTTTTGCCCCACCATATATATCTATATCTATATCTATATCTATATCTATATCTATATATCTATATCTATATCTATATCTATATCTATATCTATATCTATATATATCTATATCTATACGCTCGCGCGCGCGCGCGCGCACGCACACACACTATGATTTCACTGTAAAAAAAAAAAGCAGCTATAAAATTCAATTGCTAAGAGTTGTAAATAGACTGTTTCTATCAAAGTGATGCCTTAGAAGCTTAAGAAAAAAGAATTTTAAGAAAAGTAAAAGCAATTATAGTAAACCTTGAACTATATTACCACAAAAGGTTATTGAAAGTAAAAATGTAAATTAAATATTAAGGAAAGTAAAAATGTTTAGAATATAATGCTGTCCTTTTGTGGTTGAAATTATTCAGGGTCACCAACAGGGTTTCTAACTTAACGATAGTCCCCCTTAACTGCAATTTTGCTTTCCATGGTTTCATTTACCGTGCTGTCAACTCTGGTTCGAAAATATTAAAGGTAAATTTCAGAAATGCACAATTTGCAAGTTTTAAGTTGCACACCATTCTGCGTAGTATGATGAAATCTCAGACCATCTCATCTGCCCTGCCTGGGAACGTGAATCATCCTTTTGTCCAGCATATCTGTGCTGTGTGTTTCCTGCCTGTTAATCACTTAGTAGCCATCTCCGTTATCAGATTGAATGTTGCAGTATCACAATGCTTGTGTTCAAGGAATTCTTATTTTACCTAAGAATAGCCCCAAAGTGCAAAAGTAGTGATGTCTACAATTCGGATATGCTAAAGACAAGCTGTAATGTGCATCCTTTGAGTGAAAAAGTGAGTACGGTTATATAATTTGAGAGGGGCCACATTTGCATAACTTATTACAGTGTACTAGTATTATTCTATTTTATTAGTAGTTGTTGTCAGTCTCTTGCTGAGCCTAATTTATAAGTTAAGCTTTATCATAGGTATATATGCATAGGAAAAAACATGGTTTATACAGGGTTGAGTACTATCTGGGGTTTCAGTACCATACACTAGGGAGGGTCTTGGAATGTACACCCTTCAGGTAAGTATACATGTACTGTACTTATTCTAGGGAGAAACCTACTTTGGAAATTCTTTTGGAAGCTCCCCAGCATTGCCTTTCTACAAGTTTATAAAACATGGAGTGTCAGAGATGGAATGCTAGGCCAGGAAACTTTGCTTCTCACCCAGCATGCAATGCATTGGTTTAATTGTGTGCGACAGTGTTTCGGAAACTTTTGACATATGTGTACCCCTTCTATAATTTTCGTAATGCTGAGTGCCCCTCGTACTCATGAGAACATAGAATTAGGCGCAGCTAAGCACAGTGCAGTGCATATCCCCACCAAACTCCGGTGCAATGCGTACCTCCACCAAACTCTTCCCGTACCCCTGGGGGTACTCGTACCACACTTTGGGAAACACTGGTGTATGAGATGTTTTGAAAGTAATGACCAGTCACTTACAGAGAGAGGAGAGAAAAATAGAATCATTCAACTAGTGGCCAAATGCATAAAACTTAGGTGCATTTACAGGAGACAAAACTAAAGAGAGCCAGAGCTTTTCTTTTACATGATCCTTGTGCCTCTGTTTCATTACTTTGGCTTCTTTGCATGATCAGCTGATTTAATCACACGCAGGACCCTAGAACTCATCTGTATGTAGTTAGTTGACTGATGGGCTAGGAGGCCCTTGATAACTTTCATGTTTCCTGAGTAATATTGTTCTAAGTCTCTCTTTTAATCATTCAAAAGCTAAATAATTACATCAGTTCTCATAAGATTTTCCAGTGATGAATTCTATATTAGTTGCATGAGCAGCTCATTTTCTTGGAATTTTTTTTGAGTTAGCAAATCTTAATAAATTGTAACTTGGGAGGCTTTAAAACTGCCTTAGTTTTCTAAATTTTTACATTGTGTTCAAATATAATTAAGTTGATGGAATATGTTGGAAAGTGATTAAAATTTTGTGGAAAGGCAATAGTCTTTGATGTAGTGAGAAAACAGTTATTAATTATGTGCATATGATGTTGGCTTAAATTTGATTAATGGACATTGTTCAATGCCAACTTTTATGTAATTAATGATTTTATAGCTTTTGATTTCACTAAATACCAGTGTAAGACAAGATTTAGGGAGAAAAAACCAGCTTCATAAAAATTTCAGGCAAGATATTATTGATAGGAATTATGATAAAAATCATCTGTTTATACTTAGGAAGTTAAGTAGGTCCATATTAGCTATAATAGAGATTCAAAAAAATTTAGTTTTAGGACTACAAGATTAAAGTCCTTTATTTCAGATATTGCAAACTTTTAGGGATACTTTTTTGGGGTGTAACTTTTTTTTCCCCTTTATGCAGTAAATCTTTGTATTTGAGTAAATGTAAGATTATGATTCACATGCTTGAAATAGTAACTAAAAAAAAAAAAGAGCACACATGAATGAGTATGCCTTTTGGAAATGGATAAATGAAGGGACAGGTGGATGTAAATGTTTGCTGTTCAGTTAT